CTGCAGCGAAGTGTACTTGCTCTGCGGCCCAAAGTTAAAAACTGTTGTTCTTTTGAGGCCCTCAAGGTGGCGCTCACGACCCACAATTGAGTCGCAGCCCATGGGTTAAGAATCTCTGCTCTAAGCGAGGGGTGCTCATTACATCAAAAGCAAGCTGTCAGCAGATATTTGACTGGTCTCTATGCTAAACCCCTAACCCTACACCATGTCTCATCCATTAGACAGCTGGAWAGGTTTTGTAATCATGTACTGATACAACAGAATACTCATCTGCTTAATTATATATTCAAACTACAACTTGTCCACCTACAGAAACTGCCTGCTGATACTGTAGAATACCCTGTTTTGTTTTGTTTTTTGTACAAGTACAAATTGTTATACAAAATTACTACAGAACATGTACTTTTGAGAAAAAAAACTTGTGGCAAAAATACATTTATGTCCGTTGCTTTATTTGAATGTCAATTTGTGTGTTTTATGTGGTGTGTTTGTTGCCCAGGAAATCGTCGTGTGGTGTACCATATGGAGGAGGGKGAGGGGTTTCCTGATGGGATGACAGTTGACGCTGATGGTCATCTCTGGGTGGCATGTTATAACAGAGGACGAGTCATTAGGATTGACCCTGCTACTGGTCAGTCTCACTGGTTAAACTGGTTACCTGCTATACTTTCTGCCACGCACTGGTATACCAGTTTGTCTTCTCTGTCTGTCTATCTGTCCCTTCCTTCCTTCAAAACTAAATTCTCTCCAACAGAAGAGACGTGTCAGTCATGATTTTCTCACATTGATCCACTATCATGGATCCCACTATCCACAGACCGTGCTGCAGTTTCTGAAGATCTCCCTGAACTCTCTAAACCTTGTGACGGGATTTTAACCACTGTAGACTTGGAAAGTCACTTGGTAATTTTTAATCAATATGTGACGTCCCCCACTCGACTTACGAGATGCTTGAATCTTTGTTACAGGACCGTGGAAGATACTTTTAGATTCCTATGTAGAGCTCCACTTGGTTCATTAGACCACAGGCTGTGTCCAAAACGGCAGGACGGGTCCTCCGAAGGTCGAATTTGTCGGCCGCATACGTCACAGCG